CATCGCAGCTCACAGCAACCTCCAACTCCTGGGCTCAAGCGAGTCTCCTGCCTCCACCTCCCAAGTTGCTGGGACTCAACGCCCAGCTATTTTTTGGTTGCAGCCGTCGTTGTTTGGCGGGTCTGGGCTGGATTCAAACCCGCCAGCTCAGGTGTATGTGGCTGGCGCCTTAGCCGCTTGAGCCACAGGCGCTGAGCCACCCCGGCTATTTTTTTGTTGTTGTTGTCATTGTTGCTTTGGCTGGCCCCGGCTGGGTTCAAACCTGCCAGCCTCAGTGTATGTGGCCGGTGCTCTACCCACTGAGCTACAGGTGCCGCCATGCACAAAAGTTTTTATGATCAGTTTAGTATAGGATGCAGACATGCCTTGGACAGAAGTTGGTTTACCCCTCCTATAGACTTTCAGGACACTGGGGAAAAGCTGAATGTATTGGGCAGGCCAGCCACTATCGTAAACCCTGACAGCATGGCGTCACATACAGAAAAGTTTTTTGTTCGTAGAACAGTCCACTGTGGGTATTTGGGTAGGTATCCTTTCACACACCAACTAGGACACCTAGGCTCCTTCCCTGTTGTGCTTTTACTGTACCTTATAGGCTTGGAGTTTGGAGTTTCCACTAGATTCTTAACATTGCCCAGCAGGTGGGCTGGGGTGGGGGCTCAGTGGAAGGTAGAAGGGGAGATTTTTAACAGGCCAGGCATGGATGCAATGCACATCACTCTACCCACGCTCAGTTGGCCTTACCTCAGTGCAAGGGGGGTGGGGGTGTGCTTTAGCCATGTGCCCAGGTGGAAGACACAAGGGGTCTGGGTGAATAATAAATGTCTGAAATAGAAGGTGTCATATTTGTTACAAGGAGAGGTTCCTTCTCTGAGGAGCTGTAAAGTAGAGAGGGTCAGACTACAGAGGGACAGAGACATCCCTGAGGCAGAGCAATCTACATCACAGAGGACTCTGACAGTATGGAGGGGATAACTACACCCCAGATAACCCTGATGATCTGCTGAAGGAAGTGGCCACATGCCAGAGGACCTAACAGTCTGAAGGAAGAAGGAGGTGTCCATACCCCAGAGTAACCCTGATGTCTTGGAGGAAGAGCCTGGCAGTCTGACTTGGGAAGTGTCCACACCCACTCTATTCTTACAGTAAGGAAAAAGTCCTCATCCCAGAGGGATCTGGACAGTCTGGAGGATAGTGGGTCTACACCTAAGAGCACCCTGACAGACTAAAGGAAACGTCCATATCCTCAGTGTCCTCACATTCTGGAGGTGTCCAGACCTCAGAGGGACCCTAACCTCTAGAGGAGGATGTTTACTTACACTGGAGGCCCCTTATGGTCTAGAGGAGGGCCCCCGGCAGTTCTAGAGACCACACACAGCAGGAAGTGGCTCAGTCTCACACTTCTGACATCTAGAGGAAAGGCCGTCAACAATGCAGGATCCTGACAGTTGAAGAGTATACCCCACAGGCAGTGTCAGAGTCCCCTGGGCCTGATACTTTTCTGGCTACTCTTCCTTAGTGTCCTTACTCAACCATGCTGGAAACATTTCAGGGACTTCTAACCCCTGTCCCACCATTCCCACTCTCTACACATGTTCTCTGTGTACTACTCTTGGCCTTTCTTTTGCCACATTAAGTGACTTCCAGGCCCCTTCACTACTCCTATACTCATGAGTCCTCCTGATGGTGCCATAGGCCCCTGAACATTACCAGAGCCAACTCATCTTTCCGCACCCTCCTCTGAAGAGGCAGCACCACAAAGTGGTCCAGAGGGAGCTTGCCTGAGTGAATCCCAACTGCTACACTTATCATTTAACCCCTGTGCCTCAGTTTCCTAATCTGTAAAATGGGAACCATAATAGCATCTACCTCCTACGCTTGTTATAAGAATTTATTTTTTTGCTGCTGTACTAAAGCAATGTCTGGCTGTAATAAGAATTAAATGAGTTTTATGTCTGAAGCACTTGGAGAAAGCATTTGAGCAGTGTTCAGTATATACTAAGTTTTATATAAATGTTAGCCAGTACCATCTAAAATTCAGAAAACTGGCTCAGCACCTGTGGCTCAAGTGGCTAAGGCGCCAGCCACATACACCTAAGGTGGTGGGTTCGAATCCAGCCCTGGCCCACCAAAACAACAATGACGGCTGCAACCAAAAAATAGCCGGGCGTTGTGGCGGGCGCCTGTGGTCCCAGCTACTTGGGAGGCTGAGCCCAGGAGTTGGAGGTTGCTGTGAGCTGTGATGCCACTGCACTCTACCCAGGGGGATAGCTTGAGGCTCTGTCTCAAAAATAAAATAAAATAAAATAAAATTCAGAAAACCAAAGGTTTTTTTTATAACCCATCTGGCTCTGAGACCCAAGTTGGCTTATTTATAGTCTTTATTTATCGTACTTGGGTGGTGAATATTCATACATTTTATTAGAGAAATATTAATTTACTTGATTATGTGGTGGTGTTCCATCCACTATACCAGGGTGTTAAGTGATCGAAGGCATACACCCCTACCTGTATGCCACTTGAGACAGTCAGGACACCAACAATCTGCCCTTCACTCCTTTGTGCCCTTCCACATCTGGTCAGAATTTTCACATTCCTGTGGAGTATTCCCACCCTTACCTAGCAGAATGTCAGCCTACTTTGCACATTCAAAACATGCATTTTATTCCTATTTTAACATCTCTGCAATGAAGATGAGTCTTAATTTAATTAAATGATAGTATATCATCTAATTAATGTTGATTTCCCCTGTCTTGATAAAGGGCATATAAAATAAGGATGCATTATAGACTTCAACAAGATCCGGTCCTCATAGCCACTCCTAACATTGCTCAGTGTCCTATCAAAAACAAAGACACCTTTTACAACCACAATCTTGTTGGATCTTTACGAGATTCTGTCACTGTCATTCTCATTCTATAGATAAGAAAACTGAGGCCTACCCAGAGAGGAGTAGTAATTTGCTCAAAGTTACAAAGGTAGTAAATTGGGTTAAAAAGGCCCAAGTGCCTGAAACTGGTGGTCTACCAGACCTGGTGGCTTTTTTTTTTTTTTTTTGGCTGAAAAAACAGGCGCAGAGAAAGAACGTTCAGGATTGCATATCCAGGAGGGGGCAGAGCAATAGCTGACTGCAAGTCTTCTAGTACCTGTTCATGTCAGCACCCTTTCTTTGCAAGCTGCCAGCTTATGGCCTATGTCTTCCTTCTCAATCATTCTGGAGAACTGCTAGGGAAAAGGGACATGGCCTGATATTTTCCTGAATTTTCCAAGAAAACCAGCCATTATGCAGTGAGACTAAAAAGAAGACAAAGGAAACAGAAACCGTTTGTGCCCTGGAGGGCTTGTAGTATGACTCATTCCTGGTGAGACTGGAAGAGCAGGACAGGCGGGAAGACAGAGACCAGGGAGGACGGAGGAGCTACAAAAAGATGGCTCAGACACCACCCAGAATGCCTGTGGGCCTAGGGGACACTGCCCTTTGATCCCAGGGATTAATAAGAGAGGCAGCCAGCTTCTGAGGTGGGATGGGAACTAGGAGGCTTGGAAGGCTGCCACAAGGAATTCTCCTGGAGGTAGAGGGAGACTGACTTTTCACATATTCCATCTCAAAATGCTTCTGTGGGCTTGGCGCCTGTGGCTCAAGTGTCTAAGGTGCCGGCCACATATGCCTAAAGTGGCGGGTTCAAATCCAGCTCGGGCCCACCAAACAACAATGATGGCTGCAACCAAAAAAAAAAAAAATAGCCAGGTGTTGTGGCGGGCACCTGTGGTCCCAGCTACTTGGGAGGCAGAGGCAGGAGACTCACTTGAGCCCAGGAGTTGGAGATTGCTGTGAGTGATGCCACGGCACTCTACCCAGGGGGACAACCTGTGGCTCCGTCTCAAAAAAAAAAAAAATGCTTCTGTGGCTCCTTCTGTATCCCTCAGGAGAGAGTCCTCATTCTTCAACCTGGTGTCAAAGCCCTTTTTATGATCTGCACTTGCTTTAGAGGATGTATCTCTTTTCCTTTCCCCCTCGAACCTTAAACACTGTATTTCCTAATCAGTATCTTGCATATTGCATAGTGGGGGTCTAAATCTGTCTCTATCACCAGACAGTGACCCCTGATGGTGGAGACCAAGTCTGGTCCCTGTGTCTCTCCCATCAGACTGTGAGCCTTGAGAGCTGGGGCTAGGCATAGGGCAGGCATCAATTAAAAAAAAAAACTGAATAAATGAGTCAACAAACAAAAATTGGGTATGGGTAGCCAGGTTCCTTAAGGAGTGGAGCTGGGGCATGGACAGTGAGTGTGGCTGAGGGCACTAAATCTTGGTTTGCTCAAGGTATCGTTGGCACAGGCTGGAAGTGATGGCAGAGAGGAAACAGTGAGGACACCAGCATGGTCATCCTGCTAAAGGGACAGATTTGCAAGTCAGAAGACCATGGTCACTGGCCCACATGAGGATGAGCAGGGAAGGAGGCCTCGGCAGGTCTCTGGCAAAGGGAGAGAAAAGGTAGGAAGAGGCGTGGGAATGGAGTGTTTGAGCTTCCTGGAGGACCACCACTTGGACAGAGGACAGGTCGCTGAGCCAGAAAGCAAAATAAAAATAAATAGCAGTTCCTGTGTGTCTGCTGTGCAGTGTTCTGGCACTGGCCTCGGCGGGCAGGGCAGAGAGGTGGAAAGAAACCCAGGCATGGAGGTAGAGCAAGACCTACCCTGGTCTGGGGTCCCCCTAAGCTAAGGAGGGGGCAATTATGGGTGTAGGGAGTCCCTCACCCAAGGAAGGGCATGGCAACTATACTTGGGGATTGCCAGAAGGCTGTAGTTACTGGCCTGTGAAAGAAGAGGAGACATGGGACCAGAGAGGGGAATCTTGTTGGGGTCAAGTAGGGTAGAAGATCTAATGACACTATTTGGGAGGTAAGGACAGGCTGGGGCTACGGTGGTACAGCTGCAAGTTTACTAGGACACATGAGGATCCAGCTGTGGAGGAGATGACTTGGGAGGAGACACTTGTCTTGAGCACCAGTTGTCCCACTGGGAAGCAGTTATCAGGCTGAAAGAGAGCTTCTCTCACCCCTACTCCTGTCTCTCTTCATCTTTCCTCACCTCCGTCATTCGGTCTCTGAAGACTTTGACCTCAAGCCTTTCTTACCATCTTAGACTCTCAGGGGTCTTGGTCTTCTCTCTGGACCTTAGTCTTCAATACAAGAGTCAATCTGTGTTTCTAACCCTGTCTCTAGAGGTCCCGTCTCCCTGCTCTCTGTGGCCTCTCTAAGGTCTGCAAAGCCCAAGCCAGATCTTGCTTTCTTGTGCTGGATCCTATGCTGTCTCAGGTTCCCTTGCCCTGGGTCAATGTCTCTCTCAGTGGTGACCTGGGTCTCATTCTTCCTTGCCCTTGCTTTAGGTCTTGCTGGGGGTGGGGAATCTGCTCTCTTTCTCTGTCTCTATATATGTATATATAATTTATTACTGTTATTGTAATTATTTTCTGTTGCTGGGGCTGGAGTACAGTGGTGTCATCACAGCTCAATGCTCCCTCAAACTCCTGATCTCAAGCAATCCTTCTGCCTCAGCCTCCTGAGTAGCTGGGACTATAGGCACCCACCACCACACCTGGCTAATTTTTCTCTATATTTCTGTAGAGATGAAGTCTGCTATTGCCCAAGCTGGTCTCGAACTCCTGGGTTCAAGTAATCCTGCTACCCCAGCCTCCTGAGTAGCTTGGACTACAGGCTTGTGCCACCATGCCTTGCTTTTTTTTAAAAAATTAATTGTTTGTAGAGACAGGGTCTCTCTATGTGACCCAGGCTGGTCTTGAACTCCTGGCCACAAGTAGTCCTCCAACCTTGTTCAGGGATTACAGGTATGAGCCACTGCATAGGCCCCTTCTTTCTCTGTCCCCAGGTCACAGGAGACTCGGGAATTCTCTGGCAGTTACTGCTGAGCTGTGGCAGGAGAAGTTTACTAGATGCTTTCTATTTTTTTTTTTTTGAGACAGAATCCCACTGTGTCACCCTCTGTAGAGTGCTGTGACATCACAGCTCACAGCAACCTTAAAACTCTTGGGCTTAAGCGATTCTCTTGCCTCCCAAGTAGCTGGGACTACAGGCACCCACCACAATGCCCGGCTATTTTTTGTTGCAGTTGTCATTGTTGTTTTAGCTGGCCCGGGCTGGGTTTGAACCCGCCAACTTTGGAGTATGTGGCTGGCATTGTAACCACTGTGCTATGGGCACCAAACTACTAGATGCTTTCTTTTATTCTAACTGGACTGTGTGGCCAGCCTCCCCTCTCCCTTGAGACTCACCAGGCCATCCAGAGGCCTAAGGAGGGTCAGGCAGCGGGCAGTTGCAGCCCAGCCTCCTAAGAAGGGCTGACACCCTCTACATTGCTGCCCCATATATGTCCATGGGGAAGGGGTGCTTCCTGCTCACTGTCCTTCAGGGCTCAGAAGCTGTGCTGGCTTTATTGACCCTTCAGGCTAGTCTCCCCTTGCCCATTGCCCCTTTCCCAGATCATTACCTCAGAGGAGGCAGAGCGGCGGGGCCAGATCTATGACCGCCAGGGTGCCACCTACCTTTTCGACTTGGACTACGTGGAGGATGTGTATACCGTGGATGCCGCCTACTATGGCAACATCTCCCACTTCGTCAACCACAGTGTGGGTACCCCAGGCAGGCGGGAGGGGGGTGAGGAGGGGCAGACTGGGGCTCTCCTCACTCTCCCACTGTTCTTTCTCGCCCAGTGTGACCCCAACCTGCAGGTGTACAATGTCTTCATAGACAACCTTGATGAGCGGCTGCCCCGCATCGCTTTCTTTGCCACAAGAACCATCCGGGCAGGCGAGGAGCTCACCTTTGATTACAACATGCAAGGTGGGGGTGGCAAGGGACTGGGGGCAGGGGCATATAGTGATGTGGGACATGAGGACCCTTCCCCAAGGCACACCCATCACTCAGAGAAGCAAAGGAAATTCTTTAGCTGGAGTTTTATGATGCTATTCCTGATTCTCAGTCTCCCATCTGGACTTCTAGACCCCTGCCCACCTTCAGGTCCCCTCATGCCCAACCCCTGAATCCCAACCATGAGACATTTATACCAGCTTCTCCTAAGACTTCTTGGGGGAGATGTTTGGCTGGAGAATTAAGACACTCCTGATTCCAGTCTTGACTGAATGACCCCAAAACTCCTACCCACTCCTAATCTCCCTTGGCCTTCCTCATTCCAAGCCTCTGGACAACGCTGTGGTTCAGCCAGTCCCCTCCTTGACAAACTAACCACCTCTGAGACACTTAAGGGCAGATCTTTGTCAGGAGAATTCAGACATCCCTCTGGACACCCAGGTGGCTTTTCTTTCCTGACCCCTGCCTGAACAATCCTCCTGGTTCCCTCCTCACTCCCTGCTTCACCTAACACCCTTCAATGCCTGGCCTAAACACCCCATCTTCTGACCCCTGACCCTAGCCCCAAACCAGCAACCCTAAGATCCCCTCCTAACTCAAATCCCAGAGCTGCACCCTGCCACCAAGATCCCCATCTCATGGTAAACAGGGTAGCAGGATGCTTCATCCAGGCCTTCTAACAAGTCCCCTCCCTCCCTCCCTCCCTCCCTCCTTTCCCACCTCCCTCTCACCCTCCCTGGCTGTGACTCCACAGTGGACCCCGTGGACATGGAGAGCACCCGCATGGACTCCAACTTTGGCCTGGCTGGGCTCCCTGGCTCCCCCAAGAAGCGGGTCCGTATTGAATGCAAGTGTGGGACTGAATCCTGCCGCAAATACCTCTTCTAGCCTTTAGAAGTCTGTGGCCAGACTGACTGAGGGGGCCTGAAGCTGCCCACCCCTCCCCCCACTGCTGCCCTCCTGTCAAGGAATGACAGCCAGGGCCTTGCCTGCCTCCACCTACCCCACCTGCTCCATGCTCAGGGCTGTGGCCAGGACCGACTCCAGGAGTCACCTTTCCCTGTCCCAGCCCATCTGTGGGTTGCACTTACAAAACCTCACCCACCTTCAGAAGTGATTTTTCAACATCAGGACTTTCTGCAGTTGGGATTCCTGGCCCATTAAGGAGGTCCAGGGGGTGAGCCCTAGCCCAGCCTCAGAACAGAAAGATGTTTGTTTTTGCACCTGCTTCTGCCTGGAGCTTGAGGGGTCTGCTGCAGGCCTCCTCACTACTGCCCAAAAGGTATGGGGAAGCAACCCCAGGGAAGGCAGGCATCAGAGCCAAGAGTTCCCAGTGGGACCTCTACCAGGTTCCCTGACCACAGAGACTCCGTACTAGTGAAGAAAATGGGGTCTCCAGGGCTGGGGGCTGAGGCTGGTTTCTGCTCATGAAGGGGAGTAGATGCCTATGGCCTACTGACCAGTGAGAGGAAGACAGTTAGACTTGGCCGGACCTGGATGTGGGCTGGGCCCAAAGCTCTGCTTTCAAGGAATACAGAGAAGATACCTAGGGCTCTTGGGAGCTCTGAGGATGCTGGGAGCCCTAACCTGGGATGTGATGACTGCTGGGACTGCTCAGAGCTGGAACCAAGATCTAGATAGTCCATAGATAGCACTTAGTACAAAAATGTGCATTGATGAGGTGCCAGGCACTGGGTGGAGCACCTGGTACACTTGGATTGTCTCAGGGAAGCCTTGAAATCCATGGAAGTGGGTACCAGGAAAGGGCCCATATGGCAAAAGGTAAAGTACAGGCCAAGAATGGGGAGGAGTTCCCCACTAGAGGATGGGGAAGTGGTAGCAAAGCCTCTGCTGCCTGCCGGCCCCAGCCCTTTGTGCTCACCCTGGGTCTACTGGTCTCAAAAGTTACCTATCTGCAAATGTACATACAAAAGGCAAAGGTTCTGATGGCTGCCTCACCCCTTGCTTCCTCCTCCTATGAGGCCTTCCCTAGAAAGCCTTTCCTGACTACCTGTGCCCAGAGTGCCCCTATGTGAAGACTGTGTGTCCCGCTACCAGATGCCAGATGTGTGTGTCTATGTGTCTATCCTGCCCTCTCCCCCAGACTCACCTTCAGGCATGGACTGAATCTGGTTCTCCTCTTGTACACCCCTCAGCGCCACCCAGCCTGGAGTGGGCATCAATAAATGAATTATTGACTGAACAAACCAAGGTGTGGGGGATTGACGACCTTGTGTTGTGTTGGGGGTAGAGCTGTCCAGAAGTATGTTCCTCAAACCTCAGCCATCTGATTAATCTTTCCAATTCAGCCCCTAGAGTATACCACTTGCATTATCAGCTATGTAACATTTTGACCTAAAATAACCTTGCTTTATACTTAAATTTTAAAATGAAGCAAACTAAATCCACTGCTGTCTAAATGGACAAACCATTTGTCATAAACAAAACTAACCAGAGAAATAAATACAGTAGAAATACAGAAATGTAATAAAATTCTAGCAGGAACTTCCTTGCAAAGCCTGCCTCCTGCATCAAAAGGAAAAAAAAGTATGTGTGTGCTGGGGAAGCTTTTTCTGCAAATATTCATTGAGTACCTGTTTGTACCAGGGTATAAAGCAGAGAACAAAAACAATGTTTCAAATATACTTGTTTTCATCATCCCTATATCTGGATGTGAGCTAGTGTTCTTTGTTCTTGTTGTAAGATCTCATATGCTATGACACAGATACCCACGTATTTGAAAAACCTTACACACAGGTAGACAGGATCCCAAACAGCCTACTCATACCCTGTGTCAAAGATTCTAGGATACAGGCTTCCAAATAGCTCATAGATCTTATACACTGAATACTGACCCCGAAACCTTGCATCCTGGGATTATCTATAAAAGCTCAGAGCTCTCATACTTGGACCCCATATAACTCACAGGCTTCATTAAAACAACAGGGCACAGACTCTTAAACAGCTCTGAGATTATATGCTGCCTCATACACTGGGATTCAGGTTCCAAACAAACAGAGAACTTTCCTTCTGTAATGGAGCTCCACAAATATCTCAAAGACCAACCCATACTATCTGGAGCCTTCACATCCTGATCACTGACTTCCACTGCCCAGAGATTTCATATCCTGGGACCACTAAACTGAGGTGTCAAACCCTGGATACAGACCTCCCAAACACCTGAGAGACCTCACACTCTGGACTCCTGGCCTCAAGTGATCCTTCTGCTTCAGCCTCCAAATGTGTTGGGATTAGGGGTATAAACCACCACACCCAACCACAGATCCTTAAGTGGTTCTAAAACTTACCCTTGGACACAGACCCCCCAAATCGCTCAAAGACACTCTAAAAAGCAGACCATTAAATATCCCAGAGACCTCACTTCCATGTGAACATAGTGCCACAAACAACTCTGAGACTCAAGTCTCAGACACAGAACCCAAGAGCTTAGAGATCTCACAGGCTGGAAACAAGCTACACTCAAGAAAATTCAGACCTAGGAAACAAGTCTATATATAGATAACGTAGGGACCTTACACCTCTGACATAGACCTCTAAACCGTTCAGAGTCAGGACACCCTAGAATAGACTACCAAACACTTTGGAGACCTCACACTTTGTAACCCACACTCCCAAAAGAGCTCAGAGACCTGAAAATCTGATTACAAACCAACCTAAAGCTCAGAGATTTCATTTACAAGTAAGGAATAAGATGTACAAATTTATCAGAATTCACAAACTGGAACAAAGATGGACAAATAGTTGAGAGCCCTCACACCCTAAACACAACACAAGAGAGCTCCAAAATTACATATGCTGGAACACAGTCCTTAAAACAGAGAGCTCACACATTGGACACAAATTCCTGTTTGGAGATGTCATTTACTGGACACAGATTTCCCCAAAATACCTCACGACCATTATATGCTAAAACAGGTCCCCAAACAGCTCAGAGGCCTTACAGACCTGAAAATCTGGACACATACCCTCTACATAGCTTACAGACCTCACTTTGGGATACAGACCCTAACATATATCCTGGACATAGATCTCAAATAGCTTAGCAACCTCATATCTTAGGCTCAAACCCCAAATAGTTCAGAAACTTCACACTCTAAACATAGACCTCTAGGCCTGGTATAGTGGCTCGGGCCTATAATCCTAGCACTCTGGGAGGCAAACTTGAGCTCAGGAGTTCAAGACCAACCCAGAGTGAGACTCTGTCTCAAAAAAAAAAAAAAAAGAAAAGAAAAGAAAAGAAAAGAAAGGAAGAAAGAAAAGAAAAAGGAAAAAAAATAAGCTGGGCACGGTGGCTCATGCCTGTAATCCCAGCACTTGGGAGGCCGAGGCAGGTGAATTGCCTGAGCTCACAGGTTCAAGAACAGCCTAAGCCAGAGCAAGACCTCATCTCTAAAAATAGCCAGGCTCTGTGGCGGACACCTGTAGTCCTAGCTGCCCAGGAGGCTGAGGCAAGAGAATTGCTTAAGCCCAGGAGTTTGAGGTTTGAAGTTGCTGTGAGCTATGACACCACAGCACTCTACCAAGGGTGACAAAGTGAGACTCTGTCTCAAAACAAATAACTATATAAATACATAAATGCAGACTTCGAAACACTTAAGAAATATCATACCCTGGACTCAGACCTCAAAATCATTCTTAGAATTCATATTTTGAACTTATAACCAGAAAGATTTTGGATACCTGGAAGTCATGGATACAGATCACCAAACAACTCTACTTTCTGTGCAAAGTTGACCATGAATAGCAGAGAGACCTCACAACTGTGACACTGACCCAAAACAGCTTAGGGAATTCACATGGTTTACACAGGCTCCCTAACAGCTCAGAGAACATCTAACCTGGGATACAGTTGAGAGGTATTACTTCCTGGCTACATAGTCCCACATGGCACAAGCACTTCCCATTACGGGACATAAACCCTCAGAGAGTTAACCTCACAACCTGGAAAAAAAGACCCCCAAACAGGCCAGAGACCTCACATAACAGACATGCAATGCCAAAATGCTCAGAGTTAACAAACTTTACCCTATAGGACACAGACCCCTAAACAGCTCAATGACATACAACCTAGGCACAAACCCCTAAACACCTGAGAAACATCAGAAACTGAACAGAACCCCAAACTGCTCAGAGACCTCAAACCCATGAAATAGACCCCTTCAGAGACCCCATACATTGGAACTGAGACTTCTGCAACAGGAACTACCTTGCCCTTGGGAACATAACCCAGTAGTTGAGGGACCTCACCACCAAGGAATATACAGATCAGAGATTCACACTTTGGGACACAGGAGGTGATGCACCTCCAAGGCTTGAAGCAGTCACAAGAAATAAGTAGAAATATATCAGACTCTGGACATAGATGATGAAACTGCTCAGGAAAAACAACCCTAATACAAACCCCACAACATCATAGAGAACTCATTTTGGGGGACATTGGCTCAAAAAACAGTTTGGAGGGGTGACACACAAACACATCATAGTTCTCACACAAGGATCACAGACACTTCACACCTGAAAAGACAGACTTCTAAGTAGCTCCGAGACATCATATTCTGCACAGAGACCACCACAGAGTTAATAGATGTCACATACAGAGACCTCAAAATAGCTTGGAAAAAATCACTCACTGGTTCACACACACCCATTAAAAGCTGAGATCTTGATCCTGGAACAAACCCCTAATGAGTCAGATATATCACACTCTAAAGCTGAGACCTCCCCAGCAGAACAGAGACTTCACACCTGAAAATATATCCCAAACAGGTCAAGGAACTTTGAAACCAAAAGAGCTCAGGGATCACTTATCCCAGGACACAAGCAGCTAAACAGCTGAGAGACCTCACAGTGTAAACACAGTTGCCCAAACAGCCCAGGAAACTCAATCCCCTGGAATGCAGACCAGAAAATGTGCAGAACCCTCAAATTCAGGATTCAGAAATCCTTCTGAAATTTAGGGTACATACCCCAAAACACAGTTCAGAGAATTAACATGCTGGATGCAGAATATCAAATCCTCGTGTGGGACATATGCACTCAAACCAATCAGAGACTTCACATCCTGGGCATATAGGCCATGTATGTTCACCAGGGAAAAGCACAGATCAGGGACCACACTCTGTAACTGACATACACATACAGAGCTCAAAAAATTCAAATTCTAGGAAATATACCCCCAAAATAACAGAGACTTCACATCCTGTAACAAACTCTCAAAAAGATTAAAAACCACCACACAAACTGAGACATACATGCAGAAATATTCCAGGGGCTGAGTGAGGTGGCTCACAC